AATGTTGATGTACATGTTTTACTTTATTCTCCTTTACCTTCCCCAAAAGGCATAACAATAGCAAACACATATAGCACTTACTAAGTGTCAGGGAATAGTCTAATCAACTGACATATCTTAAGTAACTGAATTTGTATAATAACTCCTTATACTACATACTATGCCACAGAAAGGTCAGCAAACTTGCCTGGGGTCACAAAACCAACAAGTAGGTGAGACAGAATTTGACCTAGACAATCCAGCAGCAGTGCCCAGGCCCTGAAACGTTGGGCCAGGCTGCCTATACATGACACATTAAGATCTCATAATTGTTGCTGAGTCAAAGAGTGAATGAATACGCAACTGAATATGTGCAAGGCAACCAATTCAGTGTAAAATTAACCAAGCCAGTCACAGTATTTGCTTTATTTGACATACAGTTACCTCAAATTCATGACATTAGAATGATTATTTTTCGTTATTTATTTTTTATTCACCTAATAAAAATTTTCTTCAGACTATGTGTCAGGCCCAGGGCTAGAATCTACATGAATTTGTGCCCTTGAGAGCTAGCTCACAACGATTCAGTGAGAGGGGCAGGCGCCTACCATTTGCACTAGAAATGCCATATCTAGTATTTTATAACTAACTATAGTTGGCTTTCTTCCTTTTGTGAACCATGAACTAAAGCAGTGCTTCAATCTAAGGTGATTCATCCTTCCCCATCTGGCATAGTCTGGAAACGTTTTTGATATCACAACTGGGGATATGGGTGGTACTGGCATCAGGTAGGTTGAATCCAGGGATGTCGCTGTTGTGCATAGGGCAAGACACCCCCATGACAAAATGTCAATAGTGCTGAAGCTGAAAAACTCTGTTTCAAAAATATAAAGAAAAAAACTGTATCAAAAATCAAAGATGCAACTAGTAGATAAATAAATCCTGGAACCTGATATATAGTACAATGATTATAGACAACAAAAGTGTATTCTAAATAAATTTGCTAAGAGATTAGATTTTAATTGTTCCCAACATTAAGAAATAATAATTATAAGGAATAATAGAGGTGTTAGATAATACTATAATAGCAATCATATTGCTGTAATATTATAGTATAAATGTATCAAATCAATGTTGTACACTTTAAATGTATATAATGTTGTATGTCATATATAACTCAATTTTTTTTTTAATCAAAGATGAACAAAAAAGCTCTCATTTAGAGAGTACCTCTCATACTGCTTGGGGGAAAGGCCTGTGTAAAATTGAGAAAAATAAATTAAACCATAGCACTGATAAAGAAATAAAGCATACTTGGCAAAATAAAATCAAGTTTAAAATACTCCTTGAATCTACAGCATTGGCAAATTTATCTAATTACTGGGAATTTGCAAATAGTCAGTGGTGCTGGTGTGCTCAAAGAAGGAAGATTCGATTTCCAGCCTCCCCAAGAAATTCTCTTAGGAAAATCTGTTAGCTATCCTGTATGCTAAAGGGCTGAGATTCTACAATGAGAAACTGCTTCATCTGAGACAAAACATGAACTTCTAAACCTGAGGTGGTCAAGAAGTCTGAC